ATTTCCAGTTTTCAAAGCACATAACCTTTTTGTGTTTTCCAAACAAAAGAGCGATAAGGACAAACCATAAATACATAAAAACAAACAAAGAAGTTAGTTGGATGATTTAGGACAGAGTTTACAGCGTCAGCATGGTATCGCAATATTTTACATGCCAATATTATATCGATACACGGACGGCAAGTATTGATCTTTTTTTTATATAAACTATTAATATTACAGATAAAAATTAAGTTTTTCCCGGTGTGGTCATGGGGAAATCAAAAGGATTGGACTAGACTGTAATACAGTAAACAGTTCAGTATGTCAGATCCACAAAGCAAAAACACATGAATGTTTTCATCAGTCTGTGTGCTTCTTCGACAAAAAACATTTTGCTGCAATAAAAATAACTGAAGTGAGATGAACTGTGCCTTTAAGACATGTCGGTGACTAACTGAAGCACTCGTTGAATTTCCTTTTGCGTGACTAACCATCTTAAACTCTTTAAGACAGATGAAAGAGATGAAACATGAGAACTTGGTTCAGTTCTTTGGTGTTTGCATTGAGCCACCGAATGTCTGTCTGGTGAGCCAGTACTGCACCAAAGGCAGTCTGAAGGTCAGTGTACTACCTCTACTATGTACACAGACAATCATCTTGTTTTTTAATACTCCAGCTCTTTTTAAACTTACATGTATTGTGTTACATGTATCATTTTCAGTTTGAAGTATTATACACAAATCTTTTCCTACAATTAACAATAAATGTGTGGCAGTTTTAGTGTGAAACGGGAGCTCGTTGTTTGTAACATTGGGTTTAAAATAACCATATTTCATATTGAGTAAATAATCTGACAGTAATGTAACAAAGTAACACCAGTGGGTCAAACACCTTTGGTTCTGGATAACTCACACTCACCCCAGTGTGTATTAGATGTTTAACTTGAAAATATTTTCTGCAGGATGTTCTGAAGTCAGATGTTGACCTGGACTCGATGTTTAAGCTGTCCTTTGCTTATGATATAGTGAATGTGAGTCAATTCATTTAAGCAGCATGTTATTGTCATGATGTTGTGTTGGGAAAGACACTTTAATCCTTTAAAACAATATGTTTTTTATATGACATTTTGACATTTACAGGACAATCCATGTTTCGAACCTGTTCTTCTGTGTTTTAGGGAATGGAGTTCATCCACAAAAGTAACCTGAGATTTCACGGGACCCTGAAGCCCAGCACGTGTCTGGTGGACAGTCGGCTCCAGATTAAACTCTCTGGCTTCGGCCTGTCGGAGTTTAGATACGGGAGCAAAAACAAGATGGTCCCACTGGAGAACCCTATTCATTCAGGTCAGTGGGTGCACTCGAATGCTGAGTTATGACATTTTGAATATATTTATCACAGCATGAAGGAGAAATAACACGAGGGGTGACTTGTTGTAGAGATGTACTGGACGGCCCCCGAGCTCCTGAGACAAGTCGGTCTCCAGGTCTACGGGACGCCCAAAGGGGACGTCTACAGCTTCGCCATCATCATGTGGGAACTCATGTACAACGCAAAGTCTGGCCCGTACCATGAGATCAACCTGGGGCCCAAAGGTTCGCACGCCAAATTAATTTACATACTGGCAAAGGCTGAAAATGTTAAAGAAAACCCAAAGCAATCAATAGAATAGTTTTCAAGACATTTCAATTTAGTCGGTGGACGTCGGCTTATAGGACCTCAGACCCAAATTCCAACACTACAATGATTCCCGCTTCTTGCTTCATGTTTTCTCCAGAGATTATCATGCAGTTGCAGACTCCTTTCCAACGGGAGCCGCTCCGACCGGCGCTGTCGGAGGAACTCTGTGATGAAAACATCAACTCACTGATGAAGGCCTGCTGGAATGAAACCCCGGACCACCGACCGCCGTTTGCAGCCATACTCAGACAGCTGAAGAACACCACCCCAGAAAGGTAAGGCCTCTGACATTTCTCTGTTTCTTTACTCAAATTGCTGTGAGAAAATAAATTGTCCTCCCTGACTCTAATTTGGGCCTGCAGGCTTAAACTAGAGAGCGCATACTTTCGCCAGGGCTGAAAAATCCTCAAAAATGTGTTATATGCAATAAAATAAATATAGTGACTGGATACATGTGCCACATTTTCAATCAATTTAGTGCAGTAGTTAAGGAATTAACAGCTAAAACGGTCAAAAATGCTCATATTCTAATGCTAAGTTTGTTTTTTGGATTCTGGATCGGCGCTGAAAACTATTCACTTGTTTGTTCTTCCACAAAATACTTTTTTGAGTGCAAATTTGAGACATCCTGTTGTCTAACAAACAAACTACCTCAACCAGAAAACTCCTTAAAAGCTAGTGATCATGATTTTCTGTACTGTAGTCATACAAATATACTGGATAATATGGTGTCAAAGCTGGAGAAATATGCAAACCACTTGGAGGAGGTGGTGGAGGAGCGGACCAATCAGCTCACAGCAGAGAAGACCCGCGCAGACAAGCTTCTCTCCAGCATGTTACCAAGGTAATAGATGTAACCGCATCCAAAAGTGATGAAACCATTCAAATCGTCCATGACTGCATCCCTCACCTTGTCGGTGCCGGTGCTTCATTGGTCGCAGGTACATCGCGGATCAGCTGATGGCGGGGGCGTCCGTGGAGCCTCAGAGTTACGAAGCGGTGACCATCTTCTTCTCCGACATCGTGGGCTTCACGTCCATGTGCTCCGTCAGCTCGGCGATGGAGGTGGTGACGTTCCTCAACGACCTCTACAGCCTCTTCGACGACGTCATCAAGATGTACGATGTCTATAAAGTGAGTCACACACACACACACACACACACACACACACACGAGTTTAGAGTGCGTTCAATAAAACAAAATGTTCGTGAATTGTATTGTAAATAATCAGTAATCAGTATCATATACAGTATGTGCAGTAAATATGAGGGTATAGCCAGCAGCTGGTTAGCTTAGCTTAGCACAACGACTGGAAACGGGGGGAAACAGCTAGCTTAGCTTAGCATAAAGACTGGAAATGGGTCAGAAAATCTGCTATTCCTTGCAAACTGATTCTTTCGCAGAAAAAAAAACATTGTTACTTTAAAATGTGTCAGTAAAACTGAATCATCTTTGCATCTTCACTAGGTGGAAACAATCGGTGATGCATACATGGTAGCCAGTGGTCTTCCCATCAGCAACGGCTTCCAGCACGCTCTGGAGATATGTACAATGGCTCTGCATTTTCTAAGTGCCATCAAGGTCTTCAGAATCCACCACATGCCTACTGAGAGTCTTGCAATCCGCATCGGGATACACTCTGGTGAGAGACGGTTTGCTTTTTCATGATACTTAATGGTTAAGTTTGTTTTTGCTGCCTTTTTTTCTTTTGAAGTTGTCCACATTTGTTCATATTCTTGCACATTAAATATTAAGAAGAAACCAGAAACATATTAAATATTATATACAGTATGAGCTGCCCACAGTATGCAGGATTTATATCTCTATTCATGGTTTGTTGTAGAGTTTCTGGTCCTTTGCATCATTAAGACTTCATGGTGTGCAACTTTGTTAAAGTTTGCACATGAAACAATTAGACTTTTGATAAGCGTGAATACATAACAGTTTGTCGTGGGTTTTGTAGGTCCAGTGGTTGCTGGAGTGGTTGGCACCACGATGCCTCGCTACTGTCTCTTTGGTGACACGGTGAACATGGCCTCTCGCATGGAGAGCAACAGCTCACGTGAGTAAACTGAAGAGAACTGTCACACCTTTGCAGAGGCTGATCATTAGAGACCATCAGTATTGCAACCTACTGGATAAGAATTGATGTGGAATCCTCTGACTTCTAACAGCTCTGAAGATTCACATATCTCAGAGCACTGCTGACATTCTGGTCCAGGCTGGTTCGTTTGAGATGGAGGAAAGAGGGGAAGTCGAAATTAAGGTGACTTTAAGAGTCTGTTTTAGCTTTTCTCCAATAAGATGTACAGCCTTTGTTTCTGACATGTGTGTGTTTGTGTCCATGACAGGGAAAAGGGTCTCTGAAGACCTACTGGCTGCTGAGCAAACAGGGATTTAATCCTCCTCTTATTGCTCACAGCCTTCCACCAGCTGACAGTCTCAAACTACAAACAGAGGTACAGTTAACACACATCGCAGTCCTTCTTCTTGAGAAACACAGCAAGCATCGACAAGTCTAGATCAGTCAGTAAATGTAGTATTTTATGTAAAGCAGTTTTGTATGTTCACCTGTGTTTGTGATGTCTCTGCTCAAGAAACTGGGGATGCCCAGAGCTGCTGAGAAAAGGGCCCAGACGACCCTGAACAAAGCTATGATGACTGCAGTGCACATTTAAAGAACCACTGGATATTCTGATGACGATATCTGGTTGAAGGGATATCTGGAAAGGACAATTCGGAAGGTCTCAAAGAATGCAAAGCGACTTGTAAAGAGGATAATAATAATAATATTCGCCTTTATTTATACAGCACTTTTTATACAAGAGATGTTGCTAAAATGTCTCACTTGAAACAAGGGAAAATAGACTAAAAAACATCTGAAACTGAGAGTTAGAAAAACAACAACATACAAGCAAACACTTAAAGTGTTCTTATAAAATCAAATTAAATCAGATGAAACAGTGTTGGATTCAATCAACATCATTTTGTAACCATTACGATTGATCAATTGGCTCTATTGTTACACATTCACAATTAGTTCTGGGTAGTATCATTGGAAGATAATGAATATTAAAGTGTGTGTTTGTTGTGTTGCTTTCATGTTGAGACTGAGTTTTATTTCTGGATTAAATAAAAACTGTTTATTTCCGTTTGTGCATAACTAAAAACAGGGGCAAGGGTCATTTCTTTAAAAATGTCAACTCCTCTTTATTGGAGAAAGCAGTAACGTGACATTTGAAAAGATTATCCAAAGCGTCAATAAATGTCCTAATTACATATAATATCTTCGAGAAAAGTATAAAATCTTTTGAGTGTGGGGTGACATGAAGTTTTCACTACATTCTTGATCCATTTACTAAATCACAGCATGTGTTTATGAGCACGACCAGCAGCATGAATAGTGACGTGCCTGTGGTGGAAAAAGGAAAAGGAAACACAGATCAGATCAAAGAAAAGAAAAGCAACACGATTATCTGTAGCTTTCACTTTTGTCAGTCCAAATTTAGAAATGTTATGATTTTAGACCAACAAATAAATAGATCAAGTGTTTTCCCACCAGAATTTGACTCCTGGAAGTGAAGTAAAGGCTTAAAACAGCATTCATTTCATTCAAATATACAGTGATTGACTGAATAAATGAAATATCTGTATTTCCTAAATCCTGCCACGGCTCTGAACATTAAACACTTCAATCACAGATATCATTTTGTTTACCTGTCATGTGTCCATTATTGGAGGAATCAATACCTGTCCAGAGATAAAGACATCACAATACAAAATAAAAGCTCATACAGTAAAGACAAATAACAACAAACTAAAACAAAATGTTTGAATTCAACAGCCAGCTATTGGAGGCTTTTAATTTGAAAGAGGGGGAATAACAAAGCTTCCTTCAAAACGTCTCATGTATCGTCTGATGTATGTGCAGCGTTTTATAATTTATTAAAGCATGTCTAGAGAGGATGTTTAATATTGTGAGACGTTCATAACCCGTCAGCATTTATAAAACTGTACCTTTAATGTGAAACTCAGCAGTGAGGATCCCCCCACTTGGTTCTACCTGTGATGACAGACTTCTGAAGGAGCAGGGGGCCTTAAGGAAAGAGACACGGAGGAAACATGAGTCTCTTTTTGGGACCACCGGTTTAACCTTTGACGATTAACTTGATTTTCAAAGGTTATATGTTTTTTATGGAACACATTAAGCAAGTTGCAGTTGATATTGTCATGGATTGTGTCTCAGTTGTACGTTGCTGTGGACAAAAGTGCTGGAGTAGAAAGTACAATATTGTCCTCTGAAATGAGTGAAAGTATTAAGTAAATACTCAAGTAAAGTACCTTAAACTTGTACTTAAGTACAGTGCTTGTCTAAATGTACTTCTCTCTGGACACTGCTCATAACAACACATACTGTACGTTGTATTTCTAAAGGGCAGAAGTTCGGATTGTAATTGGAATAGATAAATAAAGTTTCACAGTGCTTTAACGTTTGAAGTGTTGTACTCACTGGCTGACAGTTGAGTCTCTCTCCGTCACAGACCTGGACCTCACAGTGAAGCCAGACAGTTGAAACCTTCTCCAGCCGCTGGAAGCGGAAAGAGTTGAACTTGAAGGTGGAGCGGCTGTCTTTGGCGTTCTCAAAAATAGTCACAGTCTTGTCGGAGGAGCAGCTGTTGGAAGAAAAAGACTGTTTTACCTCCGGTAACGTTATCCATTCAAAGCATAGTGAAGTATTAGTAAGTACAAAACGAAGCCTCTGTTGTTTTACTTTGTACCTGTTAATGATGAGACTCCACCTCTTCTTGTCTGTTGAGTAAGGAGTAGGAGTGGCCCAGCAGTTGTTTATTACAACTTTGAATCTGAGAGGTGATAACAAAAAGGCGGGTTAGAAATCGAGCGGCATCTACTCTGTATGGGAATGTACTTCACATACGAACATAATCTTTAAGCGTTTAAGGAAAATGTGGTGATAAACCTGTTACTTAGGCCTTTTGCCTCGATGCCGATGAAAACTTCAGAGCCGATCTCAGAAGTGTCGATCACATACGGGGAGTCCTTGGCGTTCAGGAACTTTGAATTCTACAAAATACATTTATACTTTCACATTTCTTCATCTGACTGTGACAAGCTTTTAACTGTAACGAGACGGACTAAAAATAACTTCTACCATTGTTGTACCACTGCACAGGATTCATTAAACAACACAACTAAACCAACACTACATTAAACACGTTGCCTCCACTGGAGACACTGAATCTGTGAGCGGCTACTCACCGTGAACACATTCATAGACAACTGTGATCTAAAAGTGCCTAAACTCCCGTTGTTGACATAAACTGTAGCCACTCTGGAAGAAGCAGAGGGTTTAGTAAAAACGCTGCAAGTCATTGGGTCACAATGCACTTATCTTCCACGCGGTAGCTGCGGTCGACCTCGTGTCTCACGTCGATGCTTACCTTTGGCTGAACACGGCGTTGTTGAGCAGGTACGCTGCTCGGTACACGCAGCTGAAGGTGTAGTTGACCGGCTGGTTTCTGACTGTGAGCGACGTGTCGTTGGACACGATGGAGTTGGAGAAGATGTACTTGGGGTCTTTGCCGGCCACGTACTGTCAGAAGGAATATGAATAAAATGAGACGTTTGCTTTCCATAATTGTTTAATTGACTGGATCTGAGACAGAAACTTAAGTGCATTGAAATGGCTAAATGTCTTAAAGGGCCGGGACACCCAAATTAACTCTAGTAGCATTTATATCCACACAGTTCTGGGTTTGGAGATATCGACCTTGTGATCAATTTTCATTGGAACTACATTTACCAATGAAACAGTATCTATTACAGGTTTTTTTATTGTTTGTTTTAGTTTCTTGTAATTGTCATTTTTCTCCTTTTCCATATATTGAAAACAAATAAAACAAAACCTCCTCCTCTCCACAGCTACATACTGTGGTTATTGCGTCCCTCACCTCAGACTGGGTGCCGCAGTACGAGTGGTTTTTGGGTGTCAGGTCCGGGATGCTGAAGCGGTAGAAGCCTGGGCTGTGAATTCCAGAGTAACAGACTCCGCCCAGCGACAGCTGCTCGATCTCCCAGCCGTAAGGACACTCTGGGACATTGGCAATGATGGCGTTGGGGAAACATGACACCATAACGTAGTCTGAAATAAGGCACAATCAGAGAGACGAACTTCTTCACTCGAAACACTTCTACATTGACGCTTGTTTTGGATTATGGAGACATTTTGTACATGCACGCTTGAAGCTCCTGGATGCTGTTTATCTCTTCACACTAACATTTATTACTGGAGATAATTATAATACTCATCAATGAGAACTGTATGTTAAGGTTAGGTGGCTTTTTCTCTGTGTAAGGGTTGATAAACACAAGGTTTCATTGATTTATAAGGCTCTTAATGTTTTCTATTTACTCACTTACATTGCTGCAATGTTGTCTTTTAACATGGGCCCATAATGAACATCGAATGATTGGATTTAGTTGCAGGTGCCGGCTGTCTTTACTGAGCTTGGAAAACCAGAATTTTTCTCACTGTGCACTTGAAACATAGAAGAGCATGCAGAACAATCTAAAGCTTACCTTTATTTGCCTTGAATTATAATTCCTTTACTGATTATTAAGTTTCTTATTTGTGTTTCTTGGTGCCGTAATTGTTTATCATTTAATTACTCGGCTATATTGTAAATGGAGGTCAATGTATTTCTGAGTTAAAATAAAGGTTGAACTCTGCCTGAAACGCACTTTGTTTCTCCGTATTGTAATTGTACTCATTGTACTCTGTACATACACATTTACTGCATGTTATTCCGTTCAGTTTTCTGCCTTTTTTTCCGTTTAAAAGTTTTCTTGTACATTTTTTTTCTAATACTAATAGAGGGTCTACAGATAGAAGGTGCCGTACTCTAACGTCCTCAAAGACACATTTGTGATTTGTGGATATTTTGTGAGGGTCACATGACACAAGCACATAGGTACCAACTGATCCGTGTACCACAGTGGTGTTACCTGCTTTTTGGGGAGAGCATGTCCATGCAACAGGCAAAAACATTAATAAGGCACCGACAGAAGCCATGCTGTGATGCTGCAGAGAGATTAGAGAAGTTAGCAATGAGAGAATATTCAACATATAAAGATATTCATTTGTAATTGGAAAATAAAGACTCACCTGTAGAGCAAAAGAAGCACTTTTAAATAGTCTGATGTCAGAGGATCTTCATGGCTCTTCAACACGCTACCAGCACGAGTGACTCTGTAACTAACATATTGACAACTTGAGGAGGCATTTTATACCTTTACAGGTGAAGCTAACCATCTTCCCTCCCCCACCTTTTCTCCCCCGTCTCCACTTCTCCCCCATGGCAGGTTTAAGAGCTCTATTGTGTGTCTGCGCACAAAAAGCTCTCTGTGCTGCTTGGACATTCACTTTCAAATGACCAGCGTCTCACGGGTTTACCGCTCAGAAAGGTGCTCAAAGTCACCTTTTCTGGAGACTGGAAATTTGGGAATTTTATCCAGTTATTACCAAACAGTTATGACTTGTAGGAGTACAATTTATGTATTCCATATTTACCTAGCATCATCATGGTGGCAGAGGAAGACAACTTCACAACTGTAAGCTCAATATCGAGCTCACATTGTGTAACAAGACTAGCTAAAGACTCTTCCAATAGATTTGGAGCCTCTTTTCATCGTGTCATCCCTTGTTTCATTCCCACAGTGTCAAAATACTGAAGGAACTAATATGGACATAATGTGTAAGATATGGAGGCATCTAGTGGTGAGGTTGCAGATTGCAACTAACTGAAACTGCCGTGTGCCAAGCGTGTGGAGAACTACGGTGGCCGACGCAAAAACACCAAAAAAAACGAGAAAATAGAGCCGGTGTTTGGTTTGTCCTTTCTGGGCTACTGTAGAAACACGGCTGACACCGCGTGGAGGACCCGCTGCTAATGTAGATATAAAAGGGTCAGTCGAAGGTATCGAAAGTGCAACGATTCTTATTTTCAGGTGATTACACACTAAGGAGACTTATTAATATTTTATTCCATTTCTGGCAAATATCTGCCCTAAATGCTACACACTGTTCCTTTAAAGCAGAAGTTTGACATTTTGGGGAATACCGTTATTCAGTTTCTGGCGGAGAGTTAAATAGATACCACTCTCATCTCTGTACTTAAATGTGAAGCTACAGCTGGTTAGCTTAGCAAAAGACAGGGGGGAATAGCTAGTCTTATAAGAGCACTGCTTAACAGATTATATGTTATTTGTTTAAAACAAGACAAAAAAACGAAAGTGTAAAGATTTTGCCATTTTATGGGGTTTATTTCTTGACATCTTGTGTTTATTACTGAGCTTTAAAGGGCCTGGTAGGTGGATTGTGTTACTTTTTGACAGAGCCAGGCAAGCTCTTTACATGTGTCTTACATTTGATAATATCATAGACGTTTTTTGAGGACGGGACTTGAGGTAGACGGAGAACCAGACGGCACTGTTCCTTCTTTTTTACCTCTTGGCCGAAGAGGAAGAAACGAAACAGAATACCATTTAAGAAGCTAAATAGTGCAAACAGACATGCATGGGTACCTTGAAAAAGCGATGGCAGCTCAGATAAGAGCGGCTATTCACCAGTAACTAGTGTTCTGGAGATGATAAGCCTTTGTTTTGCAGCATTCAGTAATATAAGGTTTCTCACAGTCTCATGCGATTAGATATCGTCTTTGTCTCGCCAGCCTTTCGTATGTGTGTGAAACGTGTGTTGTCGTTGGCCTGTTTACATAATTTTTATTGATTGATATCATGCTGCCTAAAGCATTTTAAACTGACAGCTCCACATGTTTTATTATCTGTTCAGAATCAACTTTTTTAAAGAGAATAAAATGGTCAATGCTCAAAAGGAAAGGAAAAGCTAGATATGCCTCCAATGCAGCAATAAATCCAGAAATCTTAGTTTTTAACATGCACTTCCATTCAAACATCGCCTTTTCAAAGACTTAATGATGAGAGCTGTAAAACGATAGCAAAGAGGTGAGACACTAACGTCCTTCACGGAACAATTCAAGTCACCCAGCGATTGAAGGGGGCAAACTGCAGACGATTAGCATTTGAATGGAGCGACGGGGGAATTTGTGAGGAAGATACCGATCTGAGAACGGGTCAGGAGACAGCTAGCGTTACAATATCTGGTGATGCTAACAATCGGGAGCCGCAAGACTCCACAATGTTATGCAACCGCGTCCGGCGATCCAAGAAACGTGCTCAGTGTGTCCGCTTTAAGCTTTAAAATCTTCTGAGTGTATTTAAACCTGAAAGGTGTCTGTAAATGCTTCTTCATTCAAAACATGCGGCAGAGTATCCAAACTTCTTAAACCTCTCTTCTTAATTGTAATTAAGTTCCTTATTCTTGAAAATAACTTAATTATCTTGATATCATTACTTTTTTCTTAGAATCGTGACTTTATGAAAACAAAACAAAAATTCTCAAAATGATTGAACTTTATTTTCAAAATCAAACTTTTTCTTATCTACTGTGTGTGTAACTGAACAGACATTTTTGTGACATGATCCCCTTATATATGTTCACCACAAGAGAGCAGCAAAACATTTTCTTTTACTCTATATTTTGCTTATCTGTACTTATTATTGATGAGGAGCTTTAAAATGGAGTGATAGCAGTAAAATTCTTTTTTTAAATGACACAAATCGTTGGTTTTGGAAAATATTTATTTCTATTCTATAAATTGAAAGGGAGCACACATTTATAGATATAATCAAAGATCACTAAATGCATGAGGAAGACACTGTATGACGTTGTTGAGCTACATACAGTAGTGCTATTGTCAAAATGTACAAAACGAAATAATAAAGAAAAATCATCCATGCTGTGAGACTCTAATAATAATAACATGTAGCATTACAACATATTTGAAAATAAGTACAAATTATACAATCAACATATGTACAGAATAAATAGCTTGCATGTGGAGGCTGGCATCAAGATTTGGGCACCTGGCAGCTCCAACTTGTTCGTTCTGGCTGGTAAATAAAATCTCTCCTGAAAGACAAACAAACTGAGGTAAGAACATGTAGACACTGTTCATTATCCACTAACTAACACAATACATTAAACATTGTAAAGTAAAACGATGTTACTGAGATGCTACACAGGGTTTGAGGAGTTATTTAAAGTTTAGTTTGATGAAACAGGAGAATGACCTGGTCCTCTGATTACCCCTCATCATATCAGGTTAATTAGCATAAATGTGTGCACAAATAAATCAACACAGTTATATATATAGCGGTGTATGATGCATGTGCCAATGCCCGTCAAATAAAATGTTGGAATGTCACTGCCCATTAAAATTCACAAAAAAATGTTTCTCCAAGGATTTAACAGCATCTTGTTTTTTTTGGCTTTCTGAGCTGCTCCTGGAGCCGTTTCACCGACATGATTAATTGGTTTTCATGTGTTCCAGCTGTGAGTGTGAGCTCCTCTGTTTTCTTTGTGCAATGCACTGTGGGACAACAGTGCACATCAAGAGCAGACACACACAAAGATAAAGGGTTTTTAAGTGTGCGTATGAATACATATATAAGTATATTGTGGTTCATTTCTGCTTTATCTGATATACAGACAGGACAGGCAGGGTAAAGAGAGAGGGGACAACATGCAGCAAAGGGTCCTGGGCCGGACACGGACCACCTTGTGAGCCACTTGGACGCCACGCCTGGTGGTATTTTGAACATACATCATTTTTAGATGAAAACTTAATGAGCTTGACTTACTCTCTCCGGTGTGATGCACCGTTTTCTCGACACAGTAGCCCCTCATCACACGGACAAATCTGGTTTATGCTGAATGCCAGGCCACCATCAGGAACGTAGCAGCTCTCGCCGCGGATCAGACGCCTCTTGCACACCTGCTCACCGTGGTGCCGCGCGCAGCACATGGATGCCCCACAGTCCCTGTCCACCTTACATCTGGCACCTGGATGGAGAAAAACAACGGTTATTTAAGGGTCCAGTTGTATTGAAACTCCAAACTGACGAACGCACACGCTCTTTAATGTTTTAGACAAACAGGGTTTGAATGCGGCCTCTTACCCTCTTGTCCGTTGGGGATGCTGCGGTGGCACTTGCCAAACATGCAGCTGAGTCCGCGGACACACTGAGCGTCCCTCCGACAGTACTGGCCCTCCCCTCGCAGAGGAACACACAGACCGAAGTGTCGATCACAGGAGAAGCCCCGTCCACAGGCCCTGTCATGGTCGCATGCAGCCTGGGGAGAAAAAACAGGGGGAGATGTTAAAGGCTTTCATTAAAACTTGTAAAAAAATCAAGAACATGAATTATGTAAAGACTAAAGTCTTGTGCAAAAGCATTAACAGCATGTTTTTGCATATAAGTAGCAAGAAGTGGCACCGATTCTACTTTTTCTATTCCACGACACAAACACAGAACTGCCTTTTATCGGCATGATTGAATACAAGAGAAGCTGTATAACCACGCACAGTACCCAGTATCTTACCGTGGTTGCTTTGGATGCAGGGGCGCCTTCTCTAAGTGCCTTGGGTCCTTCTTTGGGAGGGCTGTGAGGCAGGTTGAGCATCCAGGCCCATATACGAGCTTCAGTCAAGTCGAAGCAGAGACAAAGGCAGAGCATCCAGAGATTGACGAACATTTCCACCAGCCAATTAATGAAAAAAAATACAAAAATAAGAACAAGAGAGACTGACAATGATTAACTGGAGACAGGGTGACTCAAAAGTGAAAGAATAGATGAGTCACTTGTTTTCGACTCCACACGAAATACAAATCCAAAGCCCCAGTAAATGTGTGGAGAATCAGGGGTTCATGCAGTGACAGTGGCTGCCTCCTCTTCCAGTGTGACTTTATAGGTCACCAAGTCTCACTCCCCCTCTGCCGGGCTGTTTGTCCAAGCAACAGGGTAGGAGGAGACAATTAGGGGTTAATGGATTAACTAAATTGCCTGCAGCCAGAAAATAGTGGCGAAATGACCAGTCATGGGAGAAAGGGAGAGAGGGGAGATGGGGGGGGCGATGGACGTGACGGGCT